AGCAGCTAGCTCACCTGATGGGAGGAGGGAAGGAGAGGGAGAGAATTGTGTTGATGTGAGGAGGAGAGAATTTAAGAAAAATTATTAGAAAAAGAGAGAGAGAGGAGAGAAAGGGAAAAACAATTATTATATGAAAATTAGAACATACATGTACATTGTACTTTTTATTTTCTATTGCTTATGCATGTACATGTACATATGCTTTTTTCACATAATAATAATGATAACAAACACCAGAAATACATTGTACTAACAATATACAATGTAAATAAATACACGCTTTAATGGAATAAATGTTTGCAAATAGACTTGTGTTTCGTCTTTGTGGATAATATTCCCACAGATTATCATCAAAAATTCGTCCACAAAAAATTGTCATACATTTTATGCTGTACACTATATACAAGCACATGTACACTGTACCTGTTAGCATCTCCACCATATCAAAGTTCTTCATCTTCTCAATATCCTCTGGTGAAATATCCAAATCAAAAGCCACAGAAGTAAACAGCATATAGAACAGCCTCAACTGTTGCCAGATTGGTAACGCCCTCAACGCTCTTTTAAAAGTCATCCTGATGGAGCGATCACCTAGCAATATAGTACTACCAACTTTCGTTCCTTCTTGGAAACCCATTCGAAACTCTCCACCCGGTGCCACGCCCAGTTTATCCATTAGGTTAGCCGATATTTTAATGAACACGGCGTGAGTGAGTCCTGCCACTTGTCCCTCTGAGGCCATGAAGGCTCTCACCTTCTCCCAGTTGAGGTCTTTTGCTTGTTGCATGATGTCCTCGTCTCTCATGTTTAGTATCATTTGTCTCTCAACACATAGTTCAAGAACAACACCATCAGGACGAACCTAAAGAAATATTCATTATCATTATTATTATGATAATTATTATAGTTATGAATGAAATATCAGGTTATTTGGGGTGAAACTTTCATCAAACATTCTACATGTATGAGAGCACATCTCCAGGTTGTAATAATAATATAAAGTAATAATAATATTATTAATAATATAAAGTAATACTGTTACATTAAGTATACAAGTAATGATTATATGACAATAGTAGCATACATGTAGTATATGATAGTAATTGAAAACAAAGGCCTCTATTGTAATTGTAATAGTAATGGTATACATGTATGTAATGTGTGATATTTGTAATGGAAATAGACAAGAGAACCAAATGCACCAGTGGTTTGTCCTGACAAATCATTTTCTATAAATTTTAAAGTTGCTCCAAAATAAGGAGGGTCACTGGTCAAATTTCAACAAAAATGACAAGGGCAGAATTCTTCATTATAATTGTTTCTGATGCATATATGTATAGATGTTCTTATGCTGTTTAGCAAGTTTGAGCTGATTACAATCAATTTTAAATTTTTACAAATTTTAAAAGTTGTTTCAAAATCAGGCCAAAGTCCCTATACTATAGTACAGTGTGATTAGCCAAAATTTTACCAAAAATGACAAGGAGAGAATTATTCATTTTTATTACATTTTCTGATGCATATACATGTACTTATGTTGCGTAGAAAGTTTGAACTGATTCCAATCAAAATTTGATTTTTTATCAATTTTTAAAAATGTTAAAAAATCAAGCCAAAGTCCCTGTACTATAGTACAGGATCACGGGCCAATTTTTGCCAAAAATGAAAAGGTGAGAATTCTTTATTTTCATGACATTTTCTGATGCATATACATGTACTTATGTTACGTAAAAAGTTTGAACTGATTCCAATCAAAATTGGATTTTTTATGAATTTTTAAAGTTGCTCAAAAATAGGGCCAAAGTCCCTGTACTCAGTTAGCTTCTGTTCCTTTGCTAGCATTTATCATATCTACAGTAGGTTTGTCAGTCATACTTGCAGCCATTTTGAATAGGTCACGTGACAAAGTTACTTCCACATGAGTGCTGCAATCTGATTGAGACGCTCAATCCCGTGCTTGGTGCTACAAATTCTGTAGCAGTGTCACCAGACTCTTCTGCACCACTCCCGCGCAACGAAGAGGCAGGACCAGACTAGATTTCAATCAAAATACAAATTTTTAAGTTGCTCAAAAATCGAACGAAAGACCTTTTACTAGTATTATGTGCTAATACAATGGTCATGGTCTAACTAACAAAACGTTAGTAACTTGTATTGTACATACATGTACTGTCAAACTCAGGTCTCACTTGTTGGATTGTTTTCTGCACATCAGTGGCACTCTCTTTACTAAAGTGAGCCGTACCGACTAGATACACCTTAGACCCGTTAGGACAATCAAGAACAGACACTGTATCGGGTAATGACGACATACTCTGAACAAGAAACTAAGAAATAAATGAATTATAGAATAAAAGCACAAACACACCTTTTATGATTAGCCACGCCTTGTATGGGTGTGGTTTAGTTTAACCACGCCCACTTCAATGAACGGGAAATTGAATCCGTAACTCTATTCCGTATACTTCATATTGTAGTGTGAAAAAAGAGGAGGAGAAGGAGGAGGAGTTGAGACTCTAACACTCAAAATGAGTCGAATGCACATGATATATGATGATACCCCGTTACAGCAGGAGGGGGTGAAGGTCAGTAAGTGGAAGGGCGAGTGGAACTCGAGCCAACTACAAAGGTAACTTGTATTATATACACATGTATTTCTAATTAATGCTCATCTCTTGTAACCAGTGGTAGGGGTATACTGCTGGAGGGTGTGTTTCATAAGAAGACACGACACATAATACAAGACACTAGCAATAAAAAGGTAATCATTAATAGAAATTGTAGTATTTACCCTGTACAGGCTGTACATGTACATGTATGTGTACATGAAG